TGGAAGGCTGTGCAGGCAGCATTCAATATGAGGCTGGGTCCTGCGATTCATGGGCAGGGACACTGTCATCGTCAGGACTGGGCACCAGTGGAGGAAGCCATCCCTGAAGGGTGGCTCTCCCAGGTAGGGGAACTGAGGGGCAGGGGATCGAACAGGATCGCACAGATTTGGGATGTCCCGATTAAGGTTTGCTTGCACCACTGGGAGCATTTACTGGTATCACAAGTTTTCAATAAATTCGGGGGGGGGTCCCCAGAGGCACACTTCGCAAATGACTGGGTGGTGCTCTCCTGAGGCGTAGGAGGTATCCACTTGTGAAGAGTAAAGGCTGGGGACACATATGAAGCCTTGTTTTAAAGAAAATTTAGTTGTATGTTCCCAATAATTTAATGTTTGGCCCTGTATCACCAGAGAGGGGTAAGAACTGCATAAGCTTATCAGCCAATGAGGGTTGAAATTAGGGCAATGTAATGGCTAGTGCCCAGATGACAGGATGTTGGTGGCCAACTGGGCAGGGCTGAGGATCTTTAAACATTTGTGCCATTGGTCCCATTTAAGATAGAGGTCTTGAATCACCCAGCTAGGACCCACACCTGGTGGCATTTTGGGCGCTGTCCTCCCACTCTGGAGTGGAAATGCTATCTAATTATGAGAAAAACATCAGACAAATCCCAAGTGACAGACATTTTACAAGACACCTGACAAGTATTCTCAAAACCGTCAAGGTCATCCAAAACAAGGGAAGTCTGAGAAACTGTGAGAGCCAAGAAGAGCCTAAGGAGACAAGATGACTATGCAATGTGGTATCCTGGATGGGACCCTTCATTTTTACCTAATGTCCTTAGAACAGGGGGAAAAAAAAGAAAGAGAAACTAAGGAAATATGAATAAATCCTGGATGTTAATAATAATGTATCCGTATTGGTTCATTAATTGTGACAAATATACCATACTAATGCTAAGTTGTTAATAATAGGAGAAACTAGGCATGGGATATCAAAGAACTCTCAGTACTACTTTGCTATTTTCTATAAATCTAAAATATTCTAAAATAAAATTTATTTTAAAAAGAGACTAGAGGAGTGCTTAGGTGGATCAGTTGGGTTAAGCGTCCGACTCTTGGTTTCGGATCAGTTGGTTAAGCGTCCGACTCTTGGTTTCAGCTCAGGTCATGATCTCAGGGTTGTGAGACTGAGCCCTGTGTAGGGCTCCACACTCAGGGGGGAATGTGGCTTGAGATTCTCTCTCCCCCTCTCTCTGCCCTGCCCCCCGCCCCTCACTCATGCCCATGCACACACACATTCTCTCTAGAATAAATAAAATCTTAAAAAAAAAAAAAACAAGGAAGACTAGAAGTCAGAATGAGCTTATTTTATACAGCTAAAATAATCTAATCCCATGATACCTGAGATTTGCTTCAAATTAACCAACAGGAGGTAAGACAAGTGGGGTTACAGATGAAAAAAAGACTGTATGAAAAACTTGAAAAAATTTTATTTTAGAAGCTGATATTTAAATTTGGTTTTAAAAAATAAGACTTCAATGGCCAAATACTGAAATATTTTGAGGAGAAAGTTCAAGTCTTGGAAAACTGCAACATGTATTTCTTTTCAGTTTTCCAAACAGAATAGCAAGTAGAACGACTGGCTATAATGAATAGATTGGCTGGTTAAGACTAGTGGAAGGTAATTAATTACTTCTGAGGACAGGCTGGGGCTCTGACCCTGAGGATGAGAATTAACTTGTTCTGCATGCAAAAAAAAAAGCTAACTAATGTCTTTAAGCAAATATATCTTAAGAGAAAATTCTAGCAGCAGTGTATTTGGGACAGAGGGGGGAAAAAATCTAGCTTGAAATTCAAATCTAAGCCTCAGAGCGATGTTAAAAATAAACACCAGGTGGCATCTGGATGGCTCAGTCGTTAAGCGTCTGCCTTCGGCTCAGGTCATGATCCCAGGGTCCTGGGATCCCATCGGGCTTCCTGCTCTGCAGGAGGCCTGCTTCTCCCTCTCCCACTCCCCCTGCTTGTGTTCTCTCTCTCGCTGTGTATCTCGCTCTGTCAAATAAATAAAATCTTTAAAAAATAAATAAACTAAAATAAAATAAACACCAAAATTTTAGTTCAAGTTCCATGGAAATAATAGCAGAAGAGGGTTTACGTAATGGATTAGGGACCAAGCACTGAACCTCTGGGGACATGCACATTTAAAAATCTGGTGGAAAAGGAAGTACTAATAAAGGACATGAGAAGGATCACAAAATCGAGACCCTCAAGAGGGTGTACTGACCAGCAACATGAGGTGTCACAAAGATTTAGAGGTCAAGTCAGCAGCAGTTGAGGTGGGGCCATCAGATTTAGCCCTAGCAAGGCATGAAGGTCTTAAAAAAGCAGTTTAAAAATGTGAAGGGTTTGTTAGTTCCTCAGAAAGTCGAACAGATATACCATATGATCCAGCAATTCCACTCCTACATATACACCCCAAAGAATCAAAAACAGATATATGTAACCTCATGTTCCTAGCAGCACTATGCACAAACCAATAAACAAACTGTGATATAGACAAAAAATGAAACTATTATTCAGCCACAAAAAGGAATGAACTCTAACGGATGCTCACCATGTATGAAATTTGGAAACAATACATGAAATAAGCCTGACACAATTAAGACAAATATTGTATGATTCCACTTGCATGAGGTATCTAGAGCAGTAAACTGAGAGACAGAAAGGGTCTGGGACAAGGGGGAAATGGGAAGTTATTGCTTAATCGTTCCAGAGTTTCTGCTTGGAGTGATTAAAACGTTTGGAAATAGTGGGATGGTGACACAATACTGTGAAAGTACTTAATGCAGGTGAACTGTGCACTTAAAAACGGTTAAAATGGGGGCGCCTGGGTGGCTCAGTCGTTAAGCGTCTGCCTTCGGCTCGGGTCATGATCCCAGTGTCCTGGGATCCAGCCTGGCATGGGGCTCCCCGCTCAGCGGGAAGCCTGCTTCTCCCTCTCCCACTCCCCCTGCTTGTGTTCCTCCTCTCACTGTTGTCTCTGTCAAATAAATAAATAAAATCTTTAAAAATATATATAAAAAAAACGGTTAAAATGATAAACTTCATGTTATATATATTTTACAATTTAAAAAAGTTTAAAAAAGCAAAAAACTAGAACCCAAATTGCAAGGAACAAACAGCACAGAAATTGTCAAGAGAAGATGTGAAAACCGTGGGTTACTCTTTCACCACCTTTAACTTGAAAAGCTCAACTGATACATACTGAGAGTGGAGAGAAGTTTTATTTTTCTTAAGGCAGAGCAGATTTCGACATACAAATTTCTAGATAAACGGAAAGAACTGAGTGGAGTAAAACAAACACACTTTAAAGTCCGGTCTAGACCTGTGATTTGGGGTAAGAGAGTGCACAGCAATACTATGAAAAGCACATTCAAAGTCACAATTTCACTTCTATTTGGAAAACCGACCAACCAAACAATTGCTTTCATAATACAAAGTAAAAAAAGGATGCGGACCCAAATCTTTGATGGTAAAAATAAACGAAACTAGTCTATCATGAGCATATTAAGAGTCCTCAAAGGATGAAGTCTTTCAGACCTGGAGGACACGGCCTTGGTATTTTCAGATTTATCCAACAGCCACGGAATTTAAGGACGTGGGAAATTATACAAGACAAACAACCCAATTTCTACAACAAGTATATTGCAAACAAAAATAAAAGAGAAACTAGAGGCACATCAACCAAATGCCATGTGTAAATACAAGTTGTTGAGCCTTCCCGGGAAATGCGCGCGGCCTGGATATTGTGGCGGCCGAGGGAGGAGGGGGAGGACGGGGCAGGAGGAGGGAGGAGGGGGAGGAGGGGGCAGGAGGGGGAGGGGGAGGAGGGGGCAGGAGGGGGAGGGGGAGGAGGGGGCAGGAGGGGGAGGAGGGGGCAGGAGGGGGAGGAGGGGGGAGGAGGGGGAGGAGGAGGAGGGGGGAGGAGGGGGAGGAGGAGGAGGGGGCAGGAGGGGGAGGAGGAGGAGGGGGCAGGAGGGGGAGGAGGAGGAGGGGGCAGGAGGGGGAGGAGGGGGAAGGAGGGGGAGGAGGGAGCAGGAGGGGGAGGGGGAGGAGGGGGCAGGAGGGGGAGGAGGGAGCAGGAGGGGGAGGGGGAGGAGGGGGAAGGGGGGAGGAGGGGGAGGAGGGGGGAGGAGGGGGAGGAGGGGGCAGGAGGGGGAGGGGGAGGAGGGGGCAGGAGGGGGAGGAGGGGGGAGGAGGGGGAGGAGGGGGAGGAGGGAGCAGGAGGGGGAGGGGGGAGGAGGGGGAGGAGGGAGCAGGAGGGGGAGGGGGAGGAGGGGGAGGAGGGGGAGGAGGGAGCAGGAGGGGGAGGGGGAGGAGGGGGGAAGGGGGGAGGAGGGGGAGGAGGGGGGGAGGAGGGGGGAGGAGGGGGAGGAGGGGGCAGGAGGGGGAGGGGGAGGAGGGGGAGGAGGGGGGGAGGAGGGGGGAGGAGGGGGCAGGAGGGGGAGGGGGAGGAGGGGGGAGGAGGGGGGAGGAGGGGGGAGGAGGGGGAGGAGGGGGGAGGAGGAGGGGAAGGAGGGGGGAGGGCCGGGGGAGGGTGCATCATTCACTCCTCTCCAGCGTTGGACATCTTCCGTTACCATTTCTGCCGCACCACTTTCTTCGCTTGGAAGACCCAGCCGCGGGGCTCCGGCCCTCGTTCCCCAAAACACAGGCGGGAGACCCGGGCCCACGGCTCCGCGACCTCCGCCCAGCCCCCGCCCACATGGGCGCGCCGGGCCCCGCAGGGGGTTCCTCCGTCCACACCCAGTCCCCGGGGGCCGTGCTCGCGCGGGTCTGGCACTGCAGCCTGCCGCCGGCAGCGCCAGGCTCCGGTCGCGGCCGGCAGCCCTCGGGGTCTCGGGGCCGCGCGCCGGAGCCGCTCGCTGGAGGCACTGAGCGGACGACGCAGGCCGCGCGGGCTCAGACGCCGCCGCGCCAGGCCGCGCGCTACTCACCCCGACGCCGGCAGCGCAGGATCCCGGCCCTCTGGGACTCGGGCCGTGGCATCTTCCCTCCCGCCACAGCCCGGGTCCGAGCCGCATTAGCCACCGCGGGCGGAGCCGCTCGGGAGGGAACGCTGCACCCGGCGCAGTGGCGGCCGCCGCGCCGCAGTCTCGCACCGAGCGCGCGTGCCCTTGGGGTCACGTGATAGGAGGCACCGCGCCCCCCCCCCGCGCGGGTGACGTCACCGTCCGCGCCTGGCGTGTGCGCCCCGCGGCGCCCGCGACGTCCTGAGCGCTCGGGACGCGCCCGGCTTGGCGGTGGCCCTGAAGGTCTGTGACCGGCGGCTTGGATTGTCCCCTCGTATACGAAAGGCCTCCTTAAGGACAAGCGGGCTTGTACAGCTTAAAAGATGAACAACTTCAGCTTTTGCTCAAAGAAATGTGGGTTCAAGCGTGAGGGCCTTGCGGTGTGCCTCTCCGAAGCCGTGGAAGAACCTCACGCCGGTGGTCAGGTGCAGAAGGGAGGCATCCTGAGGGACAGCGGCCGCAGCAAGCCGCGTCGGTGTCACCTGGGGGCTGGTTGGAACTGCAGAATCGGAGGCCCCTTGCCACACCTACCTAGCAATCGAAATCTGCGTTTTACCAAGAGCTGCAGGAGACTCAGGCAAACTGAAGTTTGGAATCCGCGTGCCAGCGAACAAGTCAGAGCCTGAGCTGCCGCTGCTTCACCTGCTCCCGACCCTTGATAGCGTCAGATGCTTAAATGTTGGCCTTCTGGAACGGAATTTTTTTCTAGCTGTTATTTATTTTTTTTTAAGACTTTATTTATTTATTCATGAGAGACAGAGAGAGAAGCAGAGGGAGAAGCAGGCTCCCAAGGAGCAGGGAGCCCGATGTGGGACTCGATCCCAGGACCCTGGGACCATGACCTGAGCCGAAGGCAGACGCTTAACCATCTGAGCCACCCAGGCGCCCCTCTAGCTGTTATTTTAACCAACTGAGCCACCCAGGCGCCCTCTAGCTGTTATTTTAAACGGGTTTATATGCTATTCCATCAAATTAATGTATAATGGTATAATTCTAGCCATTGAGGTTTGTGTTAGCTCCAGTTTTACTGTTATGAAGAATGACTAAAATGCTCTTTGCAGCCTAACGTTGTGGTGAAGCCCAGAGTCTGAGACTGGGCTGATTCTGCTACTATATGGGCTGTGTTAGTTTGTGCCCAGATAAAGTTACCAGATGAAATACAGGATGGCCTGAAGTTTGAATTTCAGAGAAACAAAGAACAATTTTGTGGTATAAGTATGTTCCGTGGAATATGTGAAATATACTTCTAACAAAACATTGCTTATTTAAAATACAAATTTCAAAGACAGAGCATCCGGTATTTTTGTTTGCTAAAACTGGCAACCCCAACCCGGGACAAATTCTAACTTTGGTTTTCTCATCTATGAAATAGCAGTAACGGGGCGCCTGGGTGGCTCAGTTGGTTGAGCGACTGCCTTCGGCTCAGGTCATGATCCTGGAGTCCCTGGATCGAGTCCTGCATCGGGCTCTCTGCTTGGCGGGGAGCCTGCTTCTCCCTCTGACCCTCCCCCTTCTCATGTTCTCTCTCTCTCTCTCTCTCATTCTCTCTGTCTCAAATAAATAAATAAAATCTTTAAAAAAAAAAAAAAGAAATGGCAGTAACAGTAGGGCCTATTTTATGGTGTGGTTGAACTGAGAATACTTACCACTGTGTATGAAACGTAATGGGAGCTCAGTTTCATGCTGGTGTGTCTTAGGCTACATTCCAAGAAGTATGCTTTAATTAGAGAACTCCCAGGCTTACTTTAAGCCTTGTCTGAACATTAGATCATACCAAAAACTGTGTTTTGAGAATAGCTTTGAGTGGGTTAGCAGCTACTTCTCAACTAGCTCCACGATAGAAATCAGATTTTTAAGTTTCCACATGAAACAGAAAATTGCCACCTATAGGCTAATATGGATTTCCTTTCAATCACACCAATACTTGGATGTTTATTCTGATTTCTATTCCAGAGTCAATATTCAAAAGAAGTTAAGGAACATACTAGATCATTTCTAAGACTTACATTGTTATCTGGTACCTGAACCAACATTCACATTAAAAAACTAAGACTAAAGGGGCGCCTGGGTGGCTCAGTCTGTTGAGCGCCTGACCTTTGGATTCAGTTCAGGTCATGATCTCAGGGTCTAGATCAAGCCCTGTGTCGGGCTCCCTGCTCTGCGGGGAGTCTGCTTGAGATTCTCTCCCCCTCCCTCTGCCCATCTCCTCCAGCCCCTCTACCCCCATGCCTGCACATGTGCCCTCTATCTCTCTAAGGAGAAAAAAAAGAAAACGAAGACCTACTATTAGGCTTCATGGCTCTAAGAACATTTGTCTTTTTCTTTTGGCAAAGCTGATACTTACAACATCCTCCTTTATGCTTACCAAAGAAAAAAATTATTCTCAGATTTCAAAACTAGAAAAAAGTTATTTCAAAATCATGGTTTATTTATACTAGAATTCTTTTTTCCTTCTGCTACAGATTTCTATTTTGTATTTTACACTAATTTTAAGATTCATGGGTTTATTATAATCATTTTTTATTACTTTCTAGAAGCAGGTAAGGTATAAATATGGGCCAAGAATATAATCATAATGTGGTGCTTATTTTGTGTTGCCAGATTGACTTTTTAAAGGCTCAATCAAGTTACCCTGGCCACCTGTAATATATGAGCCTGGATTTTCCCCATGTCGTTCTAACAACAGATTCTATAGAGTATTTTACTAAATACATATGTATAAGGAGATTATATAAACTCCCCATGAAGGGAGGGATGTTTTCCTGTTCCCTTGTCCGCTGCGTCCCAGCACCAAGAAGGATATCTGGCCCTGGAGGACCACTCAGTTGTTGACTGAGTGAGCATAATAGATAAGTTGTCTCCTTCTGTAAAAACTAGCTTATGTGCTAGGTTTAGTGATCCTACCCCAAATCTCCCCCATTCCTTTTATTCCTTTCAATGTGTTATTTCCCTCATTTTCTCTGTGAATTAAATATATGTCCCCTTTCTAGCCACCTTCACCAGGGTGAACACAACAGCCATCCCTCTAACCCAAAAGAAGTACTTTAGACATTTGGAAGTATGTTCACACAGGGTAGGTGGGGAACTTAGCTACTTCTTCCCCAGTCCCAGCTAAACAGTTCTTAGCCAGAACATAGATTAACAACAGAGTACACAATCCAAGAAGTATCAGGAGAGCTACAGGCCAGAGCCATAGGAGGGGAGAAATATGAACAAGGCAAAATCAGAAGCAGGGAAGAAGGACTGTCTCCAAGTGACAAAAGGACTGACAGGCACAAACTGGAAGGGTGGCCTAGAGAACTGGACTGGGACACCACGGCAAGTGGATGGGACATCAGAAACTCAGGAACCCAACCAAGCAAGGAATCAGCACCAAAATCTACACTGGCAGCAAGAGAGGAGCTCAATACAGTTGAGCCACAGTTGGTACGTACCAACCAAGGCTCTCTGTGAACGTCTTACTGAGAAGGCCACCAGGCCAGGTCACCTGCCTGGAGTGGAATGGAGTTGACAAAGGCTCCAAGAGTGGAGCATTCCCTGTGGTCTAATGGGACCAAGTGAGTTTGGCAAATAACGAAGAGAATACACTTTACCTTGCTCAATTGTATGATAGTCTTAACTGTGTGACCGTGTATATTTCTAATGTTCAAGGTTTTGCCACCCCAGAAATTTAGTGGCATGTGTAACAAAGTGTTAAGAAGTATTGTTAAAAGAAGACGGAAAGGCACTCTTGTTCTAGAGCACTCTGGTTGTATTTCTTACTGCATGTCACATCATTTCATGATGTTCCAAACTTGCACTCTTCTCTGTGTTGAAGACCTAGGGGGATTTTTAGCCCTTCATTAATGAAAATGATTTGTTTCCTTTTCATTGGCTGCCCTTAGATGTCTCCAGTTCTGGGAAGACATTTTCCAAATACCACTGAAATGATTTGCAACCCAGTCGTTTCCTCAATTCAACACGCTCACTAATGTTTCCGTAGGCAACAGATTTCAGACCAGGTCGCCGTAAAAAAAACTGCTCCTAAATGGAAATAGAGAGTCATTTCATTAAACCAGACAAGTCATATCTAACGTAGGAGCATCTATTTCTATCACCCGAACTAAAAAAATAAAAACAGAAGACCTTCCGATTCCATCCATGGAGTGAGGGCAGAGACACACGTGGTACCTGGGATTCACCTGCCCCACAAGTATTCACAGTATGTTCTGTGACAAACTACGGCGAGATGATGTAGAGGGGTCCAGGAAGGGAACCAGGGATCCAGGTCCTGCTTCTTAGGAGCCCAAGAATCCCAGACACCTGTTGTGATATATCCCCTTTCTCCTGCTCTTTCAAGACTCAAGGACAAAACCCTCACTCCCTGGTCCCAGTCAACACTTTCATGGTTTCAGAAATGGGAGATGGGAGAGGGGCTAACGGCAAATTGACTCTGGGGGAAGACAGCCTGGGTTCACATTCTTGTTCTGTTATTTATTATGTGGCCTCTGCCCCTACCCTCGTGAGGTTGTCGTGAGGACTGAACCCTCTATCTAATACCTGCAGAGCACTGGGGAAAAAAGGCTGGCATATGGTGTCATGTCAGCACGGACCATTATCACCACCACACCTGGTTTGTCTGTTATATGCTCTGATTTAAGACAGTATTAAGTACGGATGTCTAGTGGATTCAGTCTGCCCCATATTAAAAAAGAAATTCTAAATGGACTGAAGCCTTGTATTTTCATCTGAGTTTCCCAGTGCCCAGAATATAGTACAGTAATATTGTTGAACAAGAGAAGGAACTTGCTTCTCCAAGCTAGTGTATTATGGGCATGTCATGTTGGATTCTCCCCGGGACACTTGACCATTGTAGGTCTTTGCCATCATGTCTTGCCACTCCTAGTTGCCAGGGCAGATCGATGCAGGGGATGGGCCTGAGGATGGGAGGGGGTATTGCTGTTGGGGAGCAAAGGCAGAGAGGACCTTAGACGACATTTTGTGCGAAGCCCTCTCTTGTCTAATGTCACTCACTACAGTTTCCAGTGCTCCGGGTCATACATCCATTGATTTTATGCCAAACATTATATGCTTTTTAGGTTAGATGGACC